AACGTTGAATATTGAACCGGGGGAGTTTTTTCTGCGTTGAAAATTGAGACCGATAGTCGTTGAATTTATACCTGGGGTCATTTTTCAACAGTTTGATAATTTTTTTTCTTATCCTTGATGACCTCAACAAGTTGAAAATTGACACTGTTGAATATTGACCCCACCTCATTCAAAGTTTGAACAATTTTTTAACTGGAAAGTTGTTTAACATGCAGGATTTATTAGTATTTCTATATTTATAATTCGGTTTCAATTTTTTTACAGTACTTTCTAACATCCAAAGTATCCAGAAATAACTATAAAACTATGAATAGGCCATAAAACGACAATCCTGGAAATCTGGTGTCTAGAGAGTGAGCCCTATATGTATTGATCAGGTGGGCAGAACATCCCATCTAGTCAAATTCAGAACAAAATTAACAAAAGTAAAAGCCTAAAATTTAGAATGAAACACATCGGCCAAAACTAATCCAATCATAGGTTATATTTGTGAAAAGATCAATATAGCGACCATAGCATGTAAGTAATGCTGATTTCATACAAGGTTGGTAGATTCCCTGTAACAACCGTATCTGTCAGTAGCCTGCCTCGGCTTAAAAATTGATTTTTCGGAGCATTACTTTGAGAAGGAGATTATTCTTATTCTAAAACATATCATCCTTATTCGATTCAATGTTCCTATTCGATTAGTTGCTATTTCTATTCGATAATTTGTAATTTGTATTCGATAAACTACTATTCCCTTTGGAGGAAATATGACAATATGATTCCTACATCATAATATATCATTCGTTTGAAAACATGCGTTTCCTATTCGATGTAATTTATGTTTGAAAACATGCGATTCCTATTCGCTAATTTTGTCATTCCTATTTCATAATTTTATCTTTCCTATTCGATAATTATTTGGTTTATATGCAATGAAGTTGTTGTTTGAAAACATACTAGCATCCACTTCTATTCGAAAAATACGATTCTTATTCGAAAAAGGTCTTATCTTATTGCATGATTTTACCTCTCCTATGCGATGTTTTTCTTATTTTTTCACTATATGTACGAGTAATTGCATTCTGGGAAATGAGAAAACTAGCTAGAACTGGTTGTAAACTCTATTAAATAGGAATGGCATGTTTATAATGACTATCAAATATAAATCATTTTATTATCGAATAGAAATGAAATGGCAAGATTATCGAATACAAATCACATATTTTCGAACAGAAATAGCATTTTTATTTGTTTCGCACAAGAATAACAATTAATCGAATAGGAATGATATTTCATCAAACAGGAATGACATGATTAAAAAAAAGAAAAATATTTTTTTTAATAAGAATAACAAAAGTTATAATAATACGTTTTACCCGCCATACCATAAACAAGTGATAGCGGAATTTTAGTATTACTTTACAAATACGGAAAATTCACTGTGGAAAAGATGAAGAAGAAATCATTTCTTTTCTTATACAGTATAACTTCAGTTGGCCTTCATCTTCCATAGTCAGGAAAACGCCCAAACATGAAACAATTGTTGCACATTCAGTGGTGACTTAAAAAATTCATTGGGATATATCGAGTCGACATATGAAATAAAGTAACTATTGTTACTCGATCATACGTCATCGGTGTATCTAAATTTTGAGTTGAACCCCATGGCAAGTGTTTTCTTCTTGTCTTGTGAAGTTTTTTAAAAAATATATTCTTGTTCTGCTTCATAGAAATATTTAAACAGGTCGGCCAATAAATGAGCACAATAAGGGCAAAATTTGTTGCGAATCTGTCAAATTAAATATTCATTATCATATATTAGGCCTAGCTACATTGATTTTGCAAAGGCATATTTCTTTCCATGAGAAAAATGAAATCAAACTTTGTAGTGTCTAAAGTTTGTTTTTCATTTTGAATTTATATTTGGTGTTTTGAAAGTTTTTGTTCTTCTCTGGTGACTCCAAAGCGCCTACTCTTTTTATAAGACCGGAGAAAGGGTCTGAAACATTTTTTTTTTCAAATTTAATAATTTTTTTTAGAAATTTACCAGCTTTGTTTGTTTTGGTTTTTTTTCTGAATGATCTGGTCTGCCGCATTTTCTTCTTCCTGTTATAGAATATTCTGTGTAATTGAAAGTTTAATTTTGCAATTCTGTAAGATCATTGTTTCCAAATCATCATTCTAAGTGGGAAATTTAAATTCCTGTTAATCAATCACATTTTTTATTTCCTTTGTTCAGTAACAGTCCAATTTTGTAAGATATCAGTACTGAAACAGTCTGATATTACGATTAATATCTGACTGCTTACTATAATATCGGACTGCCATGGGTACACTTTTAGACTGCAACAACAAAGGAATGACATCACAGCAATGTTTTAATGTTCGGTATCGCTAGTATTGGAGGTTTGGTCATTACCTGGACGAGTACCGCGAAAGCATTATGCTACTCTCCACCAACCGGAAACCGCTTTTTCCGATAATCGCTTAAAGCAGAGCCGCTGGAGAAATGAGGGTTAAAACTCCGGTTGTAATGGGCGAAACAGAGAAAACGCTCTACTTCTTTAACATCACACCAAACAGGCCAGTCACGTACTGACTCAATATATTGATCCCCCATTTCAACTCCGTGCTCGCTTACGGTTCTACCAAGGAACTCGACCTTAGTCGTTAACAGTCCACACTTCCGAGGTTTGAATTTAACCGCGGAACCGCTCAAACACTTGTCGTAGTTTATCAAGGTGAGCGTGTGCTTAAGATCCAAGAACTAGGATATCGTCTAAGAAAGCTAAGACAATTTTCCAGTTAGTCTTGCAACACCAAATTGATACCTCTAGCGACGTTCGCAGGGGCATTACACAAACCGATCCCCATTCTGGTAAACTCAAATAAACCATATTTCGTTACGAAAGCAGTCTTCTTCCGGTCTTCCGGAGCTATCTTGACCTGCCAGTAAGCCGCGTTAGCATCTAGCTTAGAGAACCAGCGGTTTCCCGCTAGCGTGTCCATGCACTCTTCGATGAGTGGCAGAGGGTATGTGTCCTTGACTGTCATCTTGTTCAGGGCTCTATAATCCACGCACTAACGGACGCTGCCATCCTTCTTTCTAACCAAAACTTGGGCGGACGCCCAGTCTGAGGAAGACGGCTGGATGTCTCCGGCTTTTAATATCTTATTGAGATGACCTTCCTCCTTCTCTTGAAATACAGCAAGAGTGCGACGCATCTGCTGTTTGACGGGAGACGCGTTCTAGGAGTGGGGCGATATGCTTATATTATGTTTCCATCTTGGCTGACACTCGACGCACTGTGGGATCGGTACCTCTAACTAACATGGAAGGGACGGCTTCCCCTACCTTGGTTCCAGTCTTGATAATATTGCTTCTGTCGGTCAAGTTTAGAATGCATAGCTTGGCTTTATTTCCTGCGGCATTGTATGTGTGCGAAGCTACTATACCAATCGGAAATATGCTAGCTAGTTCCAGCATTAGCTCTCGCAAATCAGAACTAAGGATACACTCGATAACTTGGGCAGCGTACGGAGGAACCCACACTCTGTGCATCAAGTACTGGTACTGTCTAATCAGCATTCAGAGCAAAGGTAGCTTCAATGCCCTTGACCCTTAAAGTACCGGCTTCACAGGAAACTTCTGCGCCATGCGTACACAGGAAATTGATCACTAATAGCATTTCATCTTGCAAGGGGCCAACATAGATCCGGTGAACAAAAACATAATCCCCGATGCGTAAGTTGAGATTTCCGAGGTACTGGGCGGTCATTCCAGCCCCCTCGCCAACTAGCCTAACATTAGTGTCGCTAACAACTTCGGGCTGCTGTCTCAAGGACCTATAAACATCACTTCAGATTATTGTGATGTCGGCTGCTGTATTAAAAGTTGCTTTCACTTGCTGGCCTCCTATCTGTATTGGGATACGCCACGCACCTGAACCAATGGCTTGCATGACTACCGGAACTAACCGACGGAATGACATGGGTCGCCTTGATAGTTGGAGTATCAGCAAAGGTCACCCTATTAGCACTAGTCGAGTGCTCCCTATACGTAGTCTCGGTAGATTTTTTCAGACATGGACACTTTCGCCGTATGTGTTCCTGTTCTTTGCATTCATAACGAAGTACTGTCCCTGAAACCTATAAGCGCCCTTGACTCGCTGATTTCCCCCTCATAGGTTTACGTGTTGGGCCACGTTCCAGACTGCTCTCCGTAGAATCGCAAATGGAATCAGTCTTCCGCTCCACTGACTTCTCTCGGCTTCCGAGAGCTTACGTCGGTGAGCAGGCGGGAGAGAGAACCTCTCCAAGACCTTCAGGGTCCCACTCTGAGGAAACGGACCTTACAGCACGTGGACGACGAACCACTGCTAGGCGGCTTAACTGGTAAGTTTTTATCCTTTTTACTGCCTCCGCCAGAGTACATGGTGGATTGTTGATCAACTGTTGACCCGCCTCACCATCACTGCAACCAAGAGCGAATCTAACAACGAGCTGCTCCTGGAATATTGCTGGCGAAGTTCCGCCACCAAAGGCCTTATTGGCAGTGTCCATGACTCTATCTGCCCATTGTTCCATTGTTTCTTCTAGTTTTTTGGATATCGAGCTAAATTCCAGCTGTGAGGCTGCCCTTAAGGAACTTCTTTCAAACCTCTCCTCCATCCACAGTACAACTTCTCGGAAACTAATCAGTGCCCCCCCCCCTCCCGCGACGCAAAATTTCAAAGTTCTTGAGTGCTGCCCCCTCCAATGTCAAACTTAAGAAAAACAAACGATCGGGGTCACACCACTTGTGGTATTCAGAGATTGTAGAAAACTTTGAATAGAATGGTCCCCACTCTACATCCCCATTGTACTTCATCCACTTTATTTCAGCTGGAATATTCCTGCTCACGCTACTCCGAGAACCAGGAGGTATAAACTCGGAAATCGGGATGTATCTGCAGTAGTGATTAATGTATGATCTTGAGATACCCAAGACCAACCCCCTTTTCCAGGTACAAATGACGGTCATTCCCCAAGTGCTACCGTCACTGCCCTACCAACCAACCATAGTAGCTAGAGCCCTGACTACCAAAGTTAGCAGCACTAGAAGATGCAGTTGGTGCTGTCACAGGCACACCAATACCCCAGGCAACATGATCAGGATCGAATGGGCCCATGCCGGGATGTACAGTATACCCCCCCCCCCATTCACAGTGTTCCCTGATAAGAACGAGCCAAATGTAAAAGTTCTTTATATAGTTCTTAATAGCAAGCCCGAACCAAGATTACTGTAGTCTACTGGAGAAAGTCGCTGACCTTGCGATGTAGAAACAGACGTGACCTCAGGGTAATGGATAGAAACAGATGCGGTACTAGGTAAACTAGGACGGGCTTCTCAACGGGAGAGTACTGCACTGGAAAAGAGCTAGGAACCCAGGGACTCCTCTGGCTACTAGTCGTTATAGACGGACTGGCATTAACCTTGAGCTCCTGTGGCTCAGTTACTGACTGCGGTTTGTTAGATTTCATTATTCTCGCAAGTAATTGAGTTCACCCTGAATCTGACCAATATCCCCTCGGAATTGACCGATTTCCCCTCGAATTCGGTAGAGGACCCCCTCCAGGATAGTCTGTCTTCCTGGAGCAGGGATTAAAACTGCTGGAAACCGGGCGTTTCCAAAGACTCATCAGCTCCCCGTGTAAGCGACATATCTCCACCCTCATACTGGGTGACATTATCCGGGGCACACTCCCCCTTGGTCATCGGTGTGCCACACGCAGCCGGAACAAATCTCACGCTTACGGGAGGTGGAAATTTCTGCGGACTGCGTTCTCTCGGGGTACTCCCCAGACTCGGTTGGTCATTTCCCCCAACTCAAACGTCCCAGTCCACATTAGGCCTTAAAGTCCCCCTCCCCCTGCTAAAGGAACTGAACACATGGTCCATCTCGGTATCCTCAAAACTGCAAAAATACAAATTAACATGAAGCAGTGAATCCGCTAAACAAGAAACGCAAGTATAAACGTATATACAAAATATATACTGCTACCTTACATCTCGGAAAAATATCAAAGATGGCGACGGGCACTAACATGTGCAGATTAGGTTTTACCCCGCAGTTAAACTAAAATACCCTGCTCGCAGCGCCAATATAGTGTTATCCTATAATAACTGTAATGGCGGATGAGAAGGAAGACACTATGATATAATATTCGGCACTTTTATTAGCTACTCCTCGATACAGTCAAGTCAATATGTCAATCACTTACAATACACACGTCCGATCTGGACAACATCCAAAGTCAGAGAGAGAGAGAGAGAGAATGTTACGTCACACTGCGTGTCAGACGAATCACGTGACCGGAGGCTACAGGGCAAATTATCCCCTGCACCTCCAGGGCCACTACATCTTCACCAAAAAGATATCCATTGGTTAGTGGAATGTACTGGTGATATTTGCTACAAATATGTATAATATTTAAAAAACACAAATTTCGATGCATGAGATACACAATGCTTTTGATATATAGATTTGTTTATTAGTTAAATTGATTTTTACTGGTACGTAGGAATATCTTTCATAAAGCGCTTTTTGAGATATGCCTACGTGACAAGTCTGTGTGATTCACACACTAATAACTCACAAATCTTAAAAAACATTCCTGAAATAGCCCCTCAAACGCCGCTTATACTTAATAAAATGTTAAAAATGTTTTTGCTTCCAGTGTTATAACTGTTTTAACCTTAATTTGACTTCAATAGATATTTTGAATATTAAATTCACCACTTGATGCCCAGGTGCAACTGCCATTATGAAGTCAATTACACGGTATTCTCTAATTAGGTAGGTCTCGACCTAAATTATGTCTTTGAACGTGCATGTTTATGGTCAGTCTGTAATTTCAGATTATAAACAAATTGAATTGTGTGTCCTCGTTTTATTCAATAGAACAATATATAAGAAATACCTTAAAGTTTTGTATAAATTATTGAAGTGTAAATCACACAGATCTGCCACGTACAGGGCATATGAAAAATATGCCTAAGTGACAAGTTAGTGTGATTTACACACTGATTGTATCCATTAAACTTAAAATCATCACATTGTACATATCTAAAAGCATAAAACAACGTTCTCAATATTCGAATTCTCGCTGCACTTAGAATACTGAGTATAGCTGCATTTTTAACGACGCTGTAAACCTAATTCTGACTTCACATTATTGCGACTTTCCCTAAAAGTGTATTCAAATCAAGAGAGAGAGAAAGAGTTAGCACCTGTTCCAATTTTTTAAAATCATTATTTACAGCTATGAAATATCAATTCACACCAAGGCCCTGTTAAGATAGGGCGGATATTAACAGGTTTTTACAAATTAATGTATAGTGACAAAGTTTTTCTAACTTATACTTTTATGCAAATACTAATAAATTACGATTTTCTGAAAGTTTCCTCAAGTTTTTAACAGAATAAAAAATAAATGTTTTTTTTTTCAGATTTCAAGATTACATATTCCCTACCAGTATGATACTCTTGGTAAAGCTGCTCTGAAAATTTCCCTCAGAATTAATATTGGAGTTGGTTGTGCAAAACAAAAAAATATATTTGTTCAGAAGAATGGCAAGTCATTCTCCTATTACAGGGGAGGTTACCGAGGATATTTATTGATACTTTGTCTTCGTATGTAATGTGATTCATAGTTGACAGTCGAACAAAAACGTATTTTTAAGTCTTTGCACATTCACAACATAAAGGTAGAACGAATATTAAGATACTTTAAAAATATCAAGCAGAACTATTCATTTATTTAAGAAATATTCCTCATAAATTACAAGAGAAAAATCATAACCATAATCATAACTATTTTTGACTTATCTGGAATTCGTACACAAGGAATGTGCAAAGATATGTTTTATTGTATGATTTATTTGTTTTCATTAATCAAACATGAACAAATTTTTTTTTCATGTCAATTGCTTAAGTTAACAGTCATGTTAAAGGAAAATTTATTTAATTTAATTTTGATTTGAATATATGTGGAAATACTTTAATTTTAAAAATAAAATAGTGTATTGGATTGTATGTTTGTTCTTATTCATGCTAAAGCAACACTTAGTGTAGCTGGTACCCAACCTGTAAAATTCTTTGAGAATCTGTAGACGATGTGCCTGTATAAGTATTGTATTATTATATTTTTTTATATGAAATGTTTGGATGTCTAATGGATGACGCAGTTTTAATGCTATAAATCAATTGTGCTTCATTACAATAACAAATAGGTATCCTTATTTGCATATTAATAAGACTGCATGCCTAAAGTTATAGATAACGAAAAGTAGAAATAACCCTACAAGCAACCTTTATCCCTGATCAGGGCATTCCAAATTGTCCGACAAGAGGTGGCAACAGGTACCAAAAATAAGTATCGTCCCATGTCCACAGATAACGTCTTCTCTGATCTCTTTGTTATGATCAAGTAGCTAGATCACACGGTGAATGTGATAGGAATTGCTTACTTATCTAAATCAACTGATCCCAACTCTGAAGTGTTAGGTCTGCTCGAAATTGACATTTTATAAACTTGATAACAGTTACTGTTCGTTGTGGCCATTTATCATTCTTTAAAACAAAGACATACCAAAGGGTATGTAATATGTCAGTAAAAAAAATCGACCGAATGATAAAAAAAAATTAGCAAACATGAAAATGAAATGATAACGAAGGAAAAATTTACAGAATGTTGTCTTCAAACCTCTGTACATGTAATAATTAATTACCTGTCAGTCGGTTGTTCTGTTTCAGAAAATACTCTTTAGTATGGAATAAGTTACTAGTATATTAGGAGACATTGCCATAAAATTCAGACAAATATACAGAAGTCCAACATAAAAAAGAAAAAGTACAATGGAGAAACCGAAGTAAACTCGTTTGAAAAATTTTCATACAATTTAGTTGTTAGTTCGTGTTTATTGTCTATATTCAGTAAAGCATCTAGATATAAAAGATGTGTGTCAGATACTGAGGTTTATTCACTAATATAGCATTAACCAATCAAAGTTTTTATTTAAAAAAATGTTTGCGTTTTCGTGGAACAAACTCCGTATTAATTGATATCTTATGATTTTTGACAAGAACGATTTAAAGTCAAAACTCGAGCAAGCTTAAAATTTACTGTATTTCGAAAGTCATGATTTCGTGGATTATGTATATGATAAAGTCTTAAATTTAAATACTGAGTATATCTGCCAGATGACAAAATACATGATTATTGCGATTATTGCACGTTTAAGATTAAATGACAGTTGCACTTGATGAAGGCTTTTTATGACATACAGAACTTATTGACGGACTTTCAACGAAATCAAATGTATTGAAAAACAAATTCGATAAGGTAGCCTTTAGGATTACCATAATTATTGTTATAATTGTTGTCTTTTCTTATTATATTATGATACTTAGAAAAACGAAATATTATGTCTGAATATGTTAAGACAATATTCTCTCTAAACATATATGCATGGGCCCTAAACATGCTAAAATATTAAATTTGATAAATAATTTTAGATCTAAAAAAAAAAAAGAACAACAACAAAATTTGATAAAGCTTTTCTTGTTCTTGAAAACGTTAACACACATTCCTTGATTGAATATTACAGTCAAGGATATTCCAAATTCTAATGTTTTTTTTCCATAAATGTATTTTTTCTTTGAACAAAACTTTAAGGTTAAATATTTTATACCCCAATCCAAACAAAATGTATCTCCCATGTTTTATGAAGAACACTTTTTATTAACTTTGTATAGTGAACATAATCAATATAGAACTTCAAATCTTAATATACAAGTAATTGCTTATTCTTATCAAGGCCTCTGTACACTTAAACATACAGTGGTTATCAGGAAAGTTCAATGCTTTACCTAATCGCTATGTGGTAAGACGTACTTTTTGTCATTTCCCCATAATTTTAATTTGGCAAGGATAATTGAATCAAAGAACTTTATTCGGTAATTACCAATATTTGCCCCCCAAATCAAACTTTGATGGAGATATATCTAATTAAGTTCCTTAAACAGGGGAGTATATGCTGACTTCAAAGCACTGAATACTGTCATAAGTTATGACGCCATATGTACGTAATGACGTCACAAACATGATGTAAATTTCAGTTTTTAATGAATTTTACAGAAAAATGTACATATTTTGTCGATATTTCGAGTAAAAGTCACCGAGCGCATGTGTGTTGAGGATCCATATTTTGATATAATGTGTAGAATGATAATATCATAGAAATATGTCAATATTGTTCCTGAACAAACTTGCACTCTATAAATTTTAAAGCTAAAATTTTTGAAATTTTGTCCATTTTGTCGTTTTTCTGATAAAGGATATAAAATCAGACTAGTTTGTGACGTCATAAAAGCGAAAATTGTGAATACAATGCTTTGATACTATAATATTTTCTGTTAATCTATATTTCTCATACAATTTATAGAATTCAGCATATTTCAGGAAGTTTTCAAAATTTGACTTTTGTGGGTGCAAATGTATGCAATATACCGCATATAGTTCTTTATTTTAATGTAACATAGCTTCAAAATATTTGAATTCTATTGATAATGTCTTATTTATATTTTCAGTTTGTTTCTTTTACTTTTTACTCGTTTTTTAAAATACATATTCCTTTCTTATTTATTTACTACAAATATGTTTAGGTTTTGAACCATGTATATAAGTATATTGAATTAATGAGGAAATTGGAACTAAGACCAACGCGAACTCTATACTTCCTTGTCCGTGTATGTTGGTTTTACAAAATCTTTGAGTTAATTGTGATAAATTTTTTCTGTGAAATCTCCCATAAAAGATAAAACATTTCAAACTATCTTCACATTCCCTGATACACATCATATTTATTAACCGTTTCATGAATTATGGCGATTCGAAGCTAAACAAAACACCATAAAAACAAGAGACCCATGGGCCACATCACTCACCTCAGCTTTGACCATTCTGTTCTTTACCAGATTCCCCCTTGTAAAGCATATTGTGACCCTTTCCTATCCCACTGATCATAATAAAGACAATTCAAAATCTACACTACCCCAGGATGCTTTCACATAAGTTTTATCTTTTCTGGCCCAGTGGTAATTGAGAAGAAGTTTTTCAAAGCTTTTTCCTATATATTCCTATGCAAAACTTTGAATGTCCATTGTGGTCCAGTCCTACCCCCGGGGGTCATGATTTAAGAATTTAGAATCTAACTACCCCAGGATGCTTTCACAAACGTTTCAGCTTTTCTGGCTCAGTGGTTCTTGAGCAGAAGATTTTTAAAGATGTTTCCTTTATATTTCTATGTAAAACTTTAATTCCTCATTGTGGCCCCGCCCTATCACCGGGGTCATGAATTGAAGAATCTAGAATCTACACTGCCCAAGGATGCTTCCACATAAGTTTCAGCTTTTCTGTCTCAGTGGTACTCGAGAAGAAGATTTTAAAGATTTTTCCAATATAATTTATATTTCTATGTAAAACTTTGATTTCCAATTGTGGTCCCACCCTTCCCCCAGGGGTCATGATTTGAAGAATTTAGAATCTACAATACCCCAAGTTGCTTCCACATAAGTTTCAGCTTTTCTGGCCAAGTGGTTCTTCAGGAGAAGATTTTCAAAGATTTTTCCTACATATTTGTATGTAAAACTGTGATTCCCCGTTGTGACCCCGCCCTACCCCTTTGGTTCATGATTTCAACAATTAAAAATCTACACTACGGACAAATTAGAAAATCAAAATATTACTAACAGTGTGTTCCTAACCAACTCTTTTGTCATATCCATAACGAAACATTCCTTTTAATCGAAATTAATAGACCCAAATGCGTTTCGTGTAGATATTAAATATGAAAATAGTTCACGGATGTCAGAGGAGTACTAAGTATTTTGAAATTGAGTTTTTGTACAGATGGGGTAAGAATTTACAGATTGAAATGAATCAAAAATAGATTGTACCGTTTTGTGCGCGATAAACATGATAAATACAAAGTTTTTTTTATATGAGTGGAAATGTAGTTTTCTAATATTTACCAGAGGAGAGAGCTACAGATCTGCAGCCAGGTTAAAAAAAATCCTACGTTGGTACCATTTAAATCTTAGATGCTCCGAATCGAGCAGAATTGAATCTTCTATTTGATTGAATTAAATGTATGTTACTTTAATTAGAGGTTTTGCAGAAATATTCATAGGAATTTTTGTCAGGAAGTTTGAAACTATTTTAATTTTGATTTTTTTTTCTCGCTATGCAGGAGAAATTCAATTCAACATAAAACAATTCAAAACTATAATGAACACTCTCAACTTAGAATCCACGATTTACTGAAATATCCCCCTGTACAATATGATTATATGTATCCGTTCCTTTACGAATGCAATTGATTTAAAAATTTTTTTTGTAAATGTAATCGGACCTGACAATTTTACACATGTAATTTATATAAATATATAGTTTTTAAACCTCTTTATGAATATCAAATAAAACTGGTCTAACTTTGAGTGAAATCCCCTTTTCATACTGTCATTTCCGCTATATATCCAATGTTCAAAAGAGCGAGTATGAAAGTCTCTATTTGTTGATAAAATTTCATTTTGCAAGTGTTTTTGTTTTGAATTGGTGTTCAAAATACTTGATTTTATTTTCAGTTGAAAGCGTTTGCGCCATTTGATAATTCTAAGCTCCTCGCTCATCTACCTCTGGGGATGCTATTTTCAATAGCTTGCATATCTTTCGTACAGTTCTTTTGTATTTCTTCACGTGAATACTTGAAAAAGGATATCGATGTTCCTGGAAACTGTACAGGGTAAACTATTATTCATGCATTTATTGGGTTACAACGGCACATTAGAGAAGATCAGAAGACGTACGTTTTATCAATTTGATCATAAAGTCTAATTTGCAAAGGAAAAGTTTTTAATGACTTTTATATATTTATGTATCGCTTGCAAAAACTGCACCACTTGCGAGATTTTTCTAATTTTTTTCATTCTTTCAATTTTCGCCGTTGTAAAATCGTTTGCAATCCATATGTTTAATTCGTAATTACAAATTTTTGAATTCGTTATAACTAATTCAACAATTTTTTCATAACAGATTAAATTTCTTATAACGAATTCAAATAAGGAATTAAATTCGTTATAACAAATTCGAAAATTCGTTATATTGTATTCAAAAACAATTTTTGATAGGTCTTTCATGAGCTTCCGTAAATTCTGGACTCTTTTTAAATTATCATTGATTGGATACAAAATCAATACTGACCAAATAGAAGCCAAAGCCATTGTTGAAATGATATTTTCTAGCGATTAATTGTTCATATTCAAAAATTAACTGTTGAATTCTTCTACCTTCTACGATTTTCACGTCATAATTGCCGCTATACGCTAAATGATTATATTGCGAAAACACCTTAAGTTACGTCCACGGCATTTGTAGTAGTTTGAACTGCTTTATTGTGTTTGCATCATATTTTATATAGGGGTATGAATTGACTATATGAAAAATAATCATTTATTGCTTATAACCCATCACAAAAGACATTAATAAACAGGTGTATTGCAGACCTGAGAAATGTTGTGCTGGATATAGATGGGACGAAGACGCATCAACTTGTATAAGTAAGTTATAACACATCCATTGTATTTGAGAGGCTTTTTCGAGAATGTAAATGTAATTATATAGTTTTCTTAAGCCTCCGTCACACAGGGATTGCGTCTTCATGGAAGCGTCCTTTAAAAATATAAAACGTCGAGGTGAGAGCAGTAGAGTCTCACTCAGCGCAGTATTTACGCGACAAGATCTTCAATGAATGCGGTAGGGTCACGTATTGTTTCCTAAGGGATGGCCTGCAATGCGTGCATGTTCAGAGTACGCGTCGTGTGATCGCTGTCTAATCAGAACGCAGTAGAAACATTGTATGTATAATCGCCGAAGCAGTGCAGTTAAAGATCTCCAACAAAGCAGTAGAGTTCTGTATCCACACCGTTAAGACGCACAATTAATCGCTCTTTGAATGCAGTGATAGTTAACTTCAAGTTCACGGAGACCTTAGAGACTGCGTTTTCTATCGCAATTTTACAGCGCTTTTAATCAGATTAGTCCTCTTGTGATTTTTAAAACTCCGGATACACAACGATACAAAACGAGAACCGAGAGTTATCACCGTTATAATTGTAATTTTTTTTTTGGTATTTCCACAGAGTTTTTCACAACATTTTTTGCACTCCTGACCATGACCATGGGGGAAGAATTGGGAAGTAAAAATTACAACAAAACGTGTTGTGTCGTTTAATTCCAGTTGCGATAAATAATATAAATACCAAAACCATACAAAACCATAATATAACTTTGAAAAAATGAAAAAGCAGGGTTAAACCTAGCATTCATAACTTAGTACTTACTTTTTCAAATAGATCATGTATAATAAAAGAATATTTCTTGCTTATGAAGAAGTCTTAAAACATTTTCTTGAACCTTAAAAAATTGTGTTACATTCCTTTTGAAGTTTAATCCATAGGTAAAGAACGCGCTATGAACAAAACCAGTGCAATGAAAATACGATGAACTTAAGTAACAACTGACATGCCTAAAAAATTGCAAAAGTGCAGTCAATCCCAGAGCGATCTCCATGGAAACCCAGTAACACGGCTTGAGAATGCCGTAGAAACGCGCCAATTGCCATAGGATGCCGCAGCATCTTCACATTCGATTTTACAGAAATTTATGCAATCTTGATGCAATTTCTTCGTAATTAAAAAAAAAAATCACACAGCAATGCCTTCGTGTTGACGAAGCTTTGTGTGACAGGTCCTTAATAAATTAAAATTTACTAATGACGTTATAGAAAGTATCTTTTAATTCAGAATGCCGAGAAGGTTACTTAGGACTAAACTGTGAAAAAAAGTGCCCATACCCAACTTATGGCGTAGATTGTCAGAAAGTCTGCAATTGTATTGAGTCTGAGTGTGACATCACATATGGATGCAAAAGTAATCCCATAATTTCTAGAATTTTATACTCTCATACTTTTTTGAAATATCTACAAGTAATTTATAAGTAAGTGTTATTTAGAATTGTTATACTGCATATCACTCAACTGATATACGAAAAGTTACAATAACATTTGATTCTTTCTCTGTTAAGAATGTGATGGTTTGTCTGGAAAAATCTGTGAAGAACAGTGCCCTTATCCAACTTATGGAATAGGTTGTCAAGGAAAATGCCACTGTGCTGAAATAAATTGCGACATCAAGCTGGGATGCACTAGAGGTACAAGCATTAACATTTCAAAAAATAATAAGAATCCATATTATTCTTGACAATTTGAAAAATTTCAGCATTTTGATTTTTAGCCGACTTATATTTGAAAAAAAAATGTTTGTTGATAAGTGTCTCTTAAATGATTAGGATGGTAAATGTTTCTTGAAGTTAAGTGCCCTAAATACTTTTTAGATCGAAAACGTAGTGATTAAAACACAACGTTTTATGTTTTAGACATATTTTATTGACAAAATGCCAAAGGGATTGGACACAAGTTCCTAAAACTTAGATAGTCCTCTCCCATAAGGTTTTATAAGACTTATGTTCCACTAATATTAATAAATAAATTTTAAAAGTACATGAAATGGATGACTGTATTACTTACAAACATTCACTTTTGCTTCATTGGAATGTTATATGATTACATGTTTCATTTACATGTACATTCAATGTACTATGCATGTATATTTCATAATTTTCATTTTCAACTACACACACTTAAGTGTAATTTTTTACTAAAATGCAGATTTCGTAGCAATACTAAAAAAAATCTAAACACAGAGTACCCATCTTTTATGTTTAGGGAATTACTGTCTAGTTTGAAGAGACTATTGCAGGGCATCAACAAAAGTGGGAAACATGGAATAAATTGCAAAATTTACCCAATGCTACCCACTATTGTTGCATGATGTGCCTGGCATAGTTTCCTAACTAGAAAGTGATTCCTTATATTTTCATTTTTACTTGAAATAACAATCTTAAATTAAATCAAAATACTGTCTTATTCAGTAGATTTGAAATGCACGAAGCAATCCATGTTGTTTTCCATAAAAACACAAAACTTTAATGATTGCTTATAGTAACTGTTGTCAAATATCAAGATTTATGAAATAAACAACAAAATTTTTTTTAATTATAATCGAAGCAATCTTGTTACTGTAAATTATATATGTGACCTAGATTTAGGTTTTCGGAAGCACAAACATGTGTATATAGGCCCTAGACCACTTCTCCGCCGCCATATTGAATGTAATCTTGCAGTTAATGAAACGAGATTTGGTCAGGAAATCGATTTGTGAGGATGTTAAAATAACAAAGTGGGTTGAGTTGCTTACGAATGTTAAAATAGCAGAGAAAGTTGAGTTGCTTACGAAGTCGGATGGTAATGGCTGAGGGACGATGTCTGTATCAGATGAGATGACAGAGTGTGGTTGTGCCGATTTCTCCATGTGTTGCAGATAGGCTGTTTACAGAAGTGGATTTCTTGGCCTCATTGATAGTGGACAACCTTGCACTAGCAACTTGCTTTTGATCTGAAGATAATTCATTTATTTATTTTGTTTGTAAAAAATATATCATATCTAATTACTTAGTAAACAAATAAACAAAACTTGAGTTTTCTTTGGTGTATTTATACACCACTCACATTCAGGTTGACATTTGACCCTTTCAGCAGTGAAATAGAGAAATATACAAACCACGGGTATTACATGTACCAAAAAATTAACAAGATGGACTTTTATATTGTATATCGTAGAGAAAACTATTAGAAATGGAAATATTAAAAATTATTTAATTTTTTATTTATACTATGCCAACAAAAGAATTGACACGGAGCGATTAATGGACTTTTGTTCATGTGTATTGTTTGTGATCTCCAATTGTTTTATTATAGGACACAACAAACAACTAGATGAGAAGACTGAGAAAGTATCCGATGCATCCGTTTCCAATTTTACTCAACATCCAATGGGGGCTCTTTTCCTGGACTTAAAAAGAGAAATGCGGTCATATTTAATTGGAATTGTATCAGTTGTGCTCTTGATTTTTATTATGCTATTGTTAGTCATTTTAGGTATAAGAGTAAATGCAATTTCTTTGTTAAGGAGAGATGTATCTCTAATGAAACATTTAAACCCAAGAAACATTATGTAACCATTAGTCCCACTGGAGAGTCAAGCAATGAAAATAGCTATTGTAATTTGGAAGTCACGTTCATGTTTCATTACTGCATAACAGCAAAAACAAGCTTTTAAAACTGGAGGTTGAATGAAGTGATCTACAAACAATGATCCACTTAAAAAAAACAGATGTATTCAGTGCAGAAGAGAAATGTCTTCAGAGTATGAATAGCACTTATTTATCAGCAGTAGACAAAATGAGTTCAACTTTTAGGAAAACTATTTAATTTTTTATTGTCCTAAAAAACTGTAATTTTCAAAGCATAACTATTCTAAGATAAGAAAATCTTTGCTTACTAGAGAAATCCATATGAAAGTAAATATTGCTATAAGATATTGTTATTAAAAGTACTCTACAATGTGTACAAACTTAAAATTAAATATTTTAAAATGTTTTGATTCCATTGTCTCAGTCTGTAAATACTTATTTATATTGATACATTTTGTATGATTCAGAATATTATAAATTGCTTTTGGGGGGTAATTGTGATTGTAGACTGTTGGGATTCTATTTCTGATAGTATTTACAATATATCACCCAAAACAATATGCTTTTTAAAGAAATATATATATCGTGGTAGATAATGTATTTACGTAAATATTACTAAGAAACAAACCTAAAAACGATATAAACCCGAATCATCTGTGGTTCAATCCAAAGATTGACTAGAGTTAGATCACTCCATTTGAAGGTTTTTTTTTGTTGTCAAAGATAAAATTATTGACAGAGAGTTTTATGAAAATGATTTTTGTGTAATATATGTGTTGTAGGGTATGGTATCTTATCGTTCATAAATATTTAAATGATAATGTACTTTTTTTGGTTGTTTTAAAGTTTGATTTTGTAAGTTGCGTTGTAAACTTATGAGATTTATGCAATGTTCATATTTGTGATTTACTCTCGAATGGTATGGTCATAGGTTAATTTTATTGAAGTGTTTTCCTTTTTTAAATTACAAACATTTGTCTCGAACTTCGGAACATATCATTAAATGTTCATCATTCATTCTTCCTCATTTATCTCTTTAATTAGAGATTATACAAACTTAAGCTAGATCTATATTCAATGAAAATTGCTGTAAGGATTTATAAGTGTTAAAGTGTGTTTTAGCACTGAGGTTAATTAATCAATGATTAAATCTTAATTGCACATGTCAGTTGTTTAATCCTGCTCTACGCTATTTTTTTAAAATTCATATTACGAAAAATAACCGTAGACATTTTTTAAAAAAGATATTTTATTATCGGGTATACGAGTGACTTTTGTAAATATTCAAAGTCATCTATTAAAACACAAGGCATGATAACCGGTGAATCTGTCCCCCTTATTTGATTTGAAAATTAGAACATAGTTAAAAATGTAATTAATGTAGTTTGTAGTTAAGAACGTATTTGATGCATGTTTTAAAACCAGCATTTATTTTGATTCAAAGCATAAATGGAGGCCACAAGATGGTGCAGAAATAGGATTTTTTCACGAATTTTCTCAATTCTAGTGGAACCTTGTGAAATTTGAGATACTTTTCACTTCGGGTAACACAGAGTAAAAGTTTGCCTATACGAAGCTTTAACACAAAGGATGCATATGAAACTAGTGTATGATAATATAAATATGAAAGAAAGACAAGCTTTTTTTCTGAAAAAAAGTGTGCTGTAAATCAATTGAAATATGCATAAATATGAGAAAATTTGAAAGTGACATATTTTCTAACCTTGCTGTAACCTTTGTATATTCCATAACTTAGAACCAATGCTCATTTTGTGGCAGGGTTGATAAGTGGTTTTCAATATATAAACTGGCATCATTCACACCTCAAACCAGTGGCCAAAGGGGGTCTTATCCTACCTTTTTCTTTCATAATCAAGGTGATTTTTGATCAAGAAGAAAGCATTGTAAATACTTTTTAAACAATTTAAACACTGATATCCTTTATAGATCAATTATTGCATTGTGTGCAACCAGCATTTTCATATCCGATCATTAATGAAAAAAAAAAGTTATGAGAAAAAACGTATCTCAATAGAAGGACGCATAATTTCTAGACAACTAACAGGATCTGGTACTGAGAGGGAGAAAATATCCCCTGTTGTATCACACGTATCGCACTCACTTTGAGTCCTTTGTATTCTAAAAGAGAATTAATTAAGACTTCACAATTGTTATGAAATATGTACATATATGTAATAAAATGCGAAATATAATATGATTTATTTTTTTTCAAAAAAGATCAACTATAACTATCACAGAATTCACAAAATTGTCTTTAAGAAATTTTTGATATCCCTATTCTATTTACTTCTCAGTGAATAGCCTGCTGATGTATGATCATAGCTTCTACCAGATCATTTAAACTAAGTTGTGATAACTCACACTGCTCCCTTTACTTTAATTGAAATCTATTAAGAGTTCTTCTAATTTATGAACTGTTTAAAATAACAGGCAATAAACCACACAAATGACAAGGTATGGTAAAGAAAAACTGTGGATACTTATTTGATGATGAAATCAAAAAAAGAGTTAGCATAAAGTTTTTAAAAAAGATTTTATACACAGGAAACATTTGATACTAGTGCAATCAGATGACGTTTACTCAATATTTAGAAGACCGAAAGAAAATCGAAAAAGAAGGTAGACTTTCAATACACATTAAGCTCTGTATTTTTCAAAAATATGAAAGTGATATAGGAAATTAAAATTCAAATTTTTCTGAATCATAGAAATTCCATGCAGTAAGAATACATAAATCGTTTTTCTCATATGATTTCCTAAATGCATATTATGACGTCATTAACTTGTGTATTTTCCCATATTTTCATAAAACGTTGCAGAAGACATCAATTTTTAGAGGAATTTTCTTTCATAAAACATACTCTGCCCCCGTCGCACACAGAAATTTTTAGATATGTGCTTTACCAAAGCAGTTTACATTATACACTAAAACACTGAAGCGGGCGACGTTGGCAGACTCTATTTTCTAAAGGCAAATACGCAAAGAAATTAGTCATTATAAGGCTTTTCAGCATTAAACTTAGAAATGTACTAAAGAAGTGACGTCATATTTCCGGAATGGTCCTCCTTCATGCCATATTTTTTAATGACTTATCATATTCTTCTACTCTACTATTGTAAAAGCCAATTTCAGAACTTTTTTAAGAACATGAAATTTTCAGGGCACAATTTAGCCTGTACCTTCTTCTTATATCAATAAATGCATAAAAAAAACCGTTTTTTACTGAATATTGTTTAAAAAAAATAATTTGAAATTATTGCGTCTTCAAACCTTCAATGGAACATGGAAATATACAAATGAAAGGCATACGTGAGTTTCTCTTGTATTTTAGTTCCTTGCATTGTTCAAAGTGACATAATAAAGATTTCATAATCATTAAACTTAACATCGTACATTTTTCTGTACATGTTATGCAATATTGATGATACAATTGGACAAATGAAAGCACTCGAAAACAACAGACCAAGGGACCACATCGCTCACATGAGCAATTGGCTAGGAAAGGCACATATCCGATCAGAACTGAAAGTTTTCTGAGGGGGGGGGAGGGGGCTTGAATTTTAAAACCCAAGGGGATCATAATTTGAATAAACTAGAATCTAAACTACCTGAGGATGATTCCCTATATATATCACTAAGCATGGCTTTGAAGTACTTGAAAAGAAGATTTTAAAAGGTTTCCAAGAAAAAAAGAAGATTTCACAGGAGTTTCATCTTTCATGTCTCAATGGTTCTTGAGAAGAAGATTTTTCCTATATATTCCTATGTAAAACTTTGATCGGCCATTTCATCTTTCATGTCTCAATGGTTCTTGAGAAGAAGATTTTTCCTATATATTCCAATGTAAAACTTTGATCGGCCATTTTGACACCACCCTACGCCCAGGGGTCATGATTTGAACATACTTGAATTTACACTACCTGAGGATGATTCCAGACGAGTTTCAGCTTTCCTGGCCCAGTGGTTTTTGAGAAGAAGATTTTTAAATTTTTTTGATATATATTCCTGTATAAAACTTTGATCGACCATTTTGGCCCCACCCTACTCCCAGGAGTCATGATTTGAATCTACACTTCCTGAGGATGATTCCACTTGAGTTTCATCTTTCCTGGTCCAGTGGTTCTTGAGAAGAAGACTTTTAAAGATTTTTCCTATATATTACTGTGTAAAACTTTGATCGGTCATTTTGGCCCCACCCTACTCCCGGGGGTCATGATTTGAACAAATGTGAATCTACACTTCCTGAGAATGATTCCACATGAGTTTCATCTTTCCTGGTCCAGTGGTTTTTAAGAGGAAGATTTTAAAAGATTTTTCCTATATATTTCTATGTACAGGGATGGGGTAAATTACATAGGAAAGTAATTAAATAAGTTTCTATTACTTTCCCAAAACCTTCAATTAAATTACCATTTCCATTACATGGATTTTGAAATGTAATTAATTAAATTACAATTTCTTTGCAAATGTAATTATTTAAATTACACATGACATTCTAGAAAACATGTATAAATTATAACGGAAATAGTCATGTACATTCCAAATCCTTTATATTTATATTAGATTATTTTACAACATATTTTTACAAAAATATTTTTAAGATGTTCATACAATTTTAAATTACTGTGTCTCCTAACCTATATCTATTATATTTGAAGATTTTCCTGCCACACTGATTATTCTCTTCACTGGGGTATTTGTGACAGGAATACATAGATACTGACTAGCAAAAAGTTTACTCATGATTTTACCTTAATTTATATGTTAAAATTTGGAATCATGAAACATTCGATTAAATTTATGTTGAAAGTACAACATCCAAAAAATCAGTTAACCTTTCTAAAATAATGCTTATGAGATGGTGGGGGAGTGGAAGATTTTTTCATTTATTTAAAATCATTGTAATTGAATGTAATTGAAAAGTAATTGTGAAGTACATGCATTTTTTGGAAATTAATTAATTAAATTACCATTACTTTAGTTGAAAATTTGGCTAATTACACATTACTT